AGGAGACAAAAAAAGAAAGTGAAGAATTTAAAATATTTTTAAAATCATAAGGATGTTACAGAAGCTACTTATAAATAAAAATCTTACATATTAAGTAATCTTTATTACAGAAATATTCTATAAAATTCATAGTACACAGGAGTATTTGTTACATGCCTGAAGATTCCAAGCAAATTTCCATTTGTCATAGTGATTGAGTGCATCACTGTATAGAAATAAATACAATGTAAGACATACAAATAGCTCAGCATGTAAAGAAAATATGAGATGAAGTTTGTCATGGGGAATTTTTTAATCTCTCATTTAGAATTACTGGCCTGGGTTTAGGCAAATGAAGCAAAAGAAATTAACACAAAAATGAAAATATAACTGAAGCTTATTTGACATCCAGATTGTGACATTCACTACCTGGTACATTGTCCTACACAAGAGTCCAACTGAACTTAATGGAAGCTGAAGATGTTTTCAGCCTTCTAAAATCCCCACAAAGCCATTAATTTCACAGTGCCACTTCACAGAATAAAGGTAGAGGTGGAGCCATCCATTTGAATTGCCACTCTCTGAGGCTTGTTAAAGCTTCAGCTGGCAACAGCCAGGAAGGGCTCAGACAAATGCATCAAGCATGGTGTGAGTCAGGTGATTGATTTGCTTTTCTTACAGCAAACTGAACTTGCTCTGAAACACAAAGTGCATTGCTTGAGAACATCCAGGACACCAGAAGCAGAGAGCATGCAGAAGCCACCTAGCCTGTGCATGCTCTTATGTTCATGCCCTGGATTAACTACCTATTCACTAAGCAAACAAAAGCAGTGCCAAACCACAACAGAATCAGCATATCAGAATTCCCAGCTCATATGGTCAATATCAGAACTAATGAATAATCTAACCTTTGAACTTTGAATGCTGTCATTAATATTTCCTTTAGTTCCTCATTCATGTTTCTTCTTCTTCTTCCCATCACTGAACTCAGAATCCTGGCAGTTGACTATCTCTTTTTTTCCTCATTGATATTTTTAGAAAGTTTCTTAGATCAAAAAGCATTTTCTAAAGAGCTCTTTTCCGTTATTAGGATAATCCTAAATACTGCATATTTTTATAGTTAAGGCCTAAGAGCTCTTCTGAAAGCCTTTGCAAAACTGTCATTCACTAACATCCAGTTACAGGACGCTGGACTTTACTGGTGGGAAATAGAAGACTCTACAGGCATACAAAATTCTAATCTAGATATATAAAGAAGGGATTAAAAGTAAACACCTCCTCTGCAGAATACATTTTGATTCTATATGAGAAGAAATTGAGACAGTTTATTAAGCAACTCTCGAGGTCACAGTCAGCATCTAACCAAGCCATTAGAAAAATCTTTTCATCTGTTGCATCATGACATGCCAATAAGTAACTGATGGAAAAATTACAGCAAGAGTGGAGGAAAAGTAATTTCTAATTTAGTGTGGCCATTATCTTGATCCGTGTCAAAAATGTACAATTTGCATAACAGTCTCAATCATCCAGGAAAAACAAAGAGATACTTAAAACTTTCAATTTCAATTACCTTGTATGCCTGTGTTGCACACAGTTTGGAAAAATGGGTGATTTAATTTGGTGTGAAATAAAAAAGCTAGCAAGTGACAATGAAAAAAAGGGGGAAAGGGAGTTTAATGAATCTGGTGATAAATAATCTAAAATGAAAGGCAGGTAATGGACAAGAATTTGAAGTTTCAGCAGCATGTCAACAGTAGTCAGAGTTGTCACTAGAGTACAGCTTTGAAATAACTAACTTTCACTGCCTTAAAATACATTTCAAAAATGTTTCAGACATTGCTCTCTGTGAAGGATTTGATATTTTTTGTCTGTGTTGTTCCAATCACAGCTTAGCTAAGGCACACATTTCTCAGTGATGCTAATGGAGTTTCAACATATAAGCCAAAGATTTCTCTCATTTAGGAAGTCAATCCTTTAACTCCACTTATCTTGTAAGTGTTTAAAAGGGCAATTTTCAAACCATTAAGTAGAACTCATGATTTTTGAGATCAACTATAAATCATTCCGTTACAAGATGTATTATTTAAATAATTATAGCTACCTAACTGCCATTGTAATGTTAATTTGGTATATAGGACATTTTCTTATAAAATTTTATTCTTCACACACAGAATACTAAAGTGTTTTCTGGTAAGCTTACTCATTTAAATAAGGTGTATTTCTCAGCTTCGCTTAAGCTCCATAGCCAACCTAAAACTTGAAACTTATTTAAGAAGAAACATTTTCCTCTGAAGAGGAAGGGGGAGAAAGAAGAAATCAACCCTGTAGGAGGATTTGAAACCCAAAAACCACAAAACATGACATTGCTAGAGATAAAATTTAGAACAGAAAAAATATATTTAAAAAAAATACTAAGGACACAGTGGTTTGATCTGAAAATCAATGATGAGTAATAAACCAGAAAGTAAAAATACTTAATTGCTGTCATAATATAGTCATTGTTGACAGTGACTACCTTATCACCTTGCAGGCATCCTTGTAGGAATCTCTTTCTCTTCATGCCCTGCCCCAGTGCAGATTAGCCTATGTTGAAGAATTTTGTGAAAGGCTCAACAAAATGCTCAGAATATTTGTTTCCTGAATGCAAGATCTTTTTTGTATTTCTCTGGCCTCAGAAGCAGCTCTTTGAAGTGAGATCATTTGTGCTAGAGGATGTCTGCTAAACTAGCAAGGAGGACGTGTGGCAGTGCCCTTCTGACACCGTCAAGTGTCTCACCACTCTCACAGTAAAGAATTTTTTCCAACTATCTAGCCTAGATTTCCCCTCTGTCAATTTGCACCCACTGTTCCTCAACCTATCCCTAGCGTTGCTGATGAAGAATGCCCCTGGCTTCTCTGTAGCCCCCCTTCACATACTGGAAGGTTGCTGTGAAGTCTCCATTCAACCTTCTCCAGGCTGAACACCCGAACTTTCTCAGCCTGTCAATGTAGGGGAGGTGCTCCAGTCCTCTTATCAACCTCATGGCACCCCTCTGACTTGCTCCAACAGTTCCATGTCCTTCCTATGCTGTGGACACAGCAACTGTAAGTCGTACTCCTGGTGGTCTAGTGGTTAAGGACGCGGTGCTGTCACCACAGAGACCCGGGTTTGATTCCCAGTCAGGGTCACTCCCCGGGCAGATGGAGCTCATTAGCCCTGTAAGGCAATCCATCTACGTCCTGAGGACCTCGCTGCCACTGTCTAAGCTCGCTTGGCCCCGGCAGATGAACCTCAGGATTAAAGGGTGGGCTCAGTTCCGCGCACACTGTGTCTCACCTAAAAAATCCAATGCGCAGGTTGGAAGGTGTAAAGACCTTCCCCAGTTCTTCGTTCGCGAAGACTGGCCAACAAGAAAAAGTCATACTCTGAGTGGGGTCTCACCAGAGCAGAGGAGTAGAATCACCTCCTTCAATCTGTTGGCCACACATCTTTTGATGGAGCCCAGGATTCAATTGGCTTTCTGAGCTTTGAGCACACACTGACAACTCATGTTGAATTTTTCACCAACCATCACCCCCACTTCTTTCTCCACAGGGTACCTCTCAACCAATCCTCCACCCAACCTGGGATTGCCATGACTCAGGTGTAGGACCTCCCACTTTGCTTTGCTGAACTTCATGAGGTTTGCATCGGGCTACCTCCCAAGCCCTTCCCTCCAGCACGTTTATTGCACCACACAGTTTGGTGTGGTCAGCAAAGCTGCTGAGAGTGCACTTGATCCCACTGTCCCTGTTGCTGATAAAGATGCTGAACACCTTTAGCCCCAGTAGTGACCACTGCAGGGCACAACTTGGCACATGGACAATGAGCTATATTTCTTCATGGGAGCTTTGATTTGGTAAAAAAGCCTCAGCTCTTCATTTAAATGACAGTTCCTCAATGATGAATGTAGTGAAAAATTCAACTTTTAAAATTTTTAAACTGTCTTCATTTGAACAACCTTATACTAATATTTTAACCAGAATTTAAAAAATTGTATTCAAGTGAAATATTGTAATTTAAATGAATGTTCCCTACAGAGGTGAATTTCATTTAGCAGAAATATTTTAGTAGACTTCCTTCTGTGGTGATAGTAGTTATTAGTTGGTATTACTCAGAGTGCAAATATATCCACAGTATAGAAGACTTTTTACAAAAACAGTACAGTCTTAAAAAAAAAAAAAAAAAGAGAATCAATTCAACCCCTAGGTAGACTAATTAAAAAGGGTCTTCTTTAAAAATATTTCCCCTCCCCTCCAAAACCATCCACCTATTTTAACCAGTAAAAACATGCTGCAAATCCATAAAGTATTCATAAAAATGCTTAATCAATGTCTGTACTGGCAGATTTCCAGAAACCTGCAAGGTGTGCTCAAATTACACAGAAAAAGGCAAGTTGCTATTGTTGACATCTTCAGCATAAAATACTTATTACAAGGTGTATCTCAGCATTCTGGCTGGCATCTCTCAGCATTCAGAAGATTAAAGGGTAACTAAACTTGCATGCTGTCATAAGCATACAAGTAAACTCTTCCTTGTCCAAATTCAAAGCAAGGAAGACCCTTTTAGCCATGAACAAGCTGCTGGTCCAACAACTTCAATACCAAATACAAGCACAGATCCTGCAACCTTCCAAAACCCCTCTGAAAATATAAATTCTGTTTTTCCCATAATAAAGACTAACATCCCAGGGCTTTGGGACTGTAAGTGCATTCAGATGAATTAGGTCAGCAACCACATTTGTAAGGTAAGCTGGAAGAGATTAGTTTCCAAGAGACAACTGGTTTAGTCAGGTTAAAAAGAGGTGATTGCCAAGAGCACTGAGTATAAATAAAAGGAAAAAAAGAAGCCATAAGATATCTCTGGAGTGCAATACTTACTGTATTAACTTTGATTCATTTATTCACTGTACACTCAGTGCAAACTCCATAGAGATTTAATTGAACTGCTTGAAAACACATACTCGATAGGGATATTCCAGGTACTGTTCAGCCACGCTTACCTTTAAAGAAACAATCTTCATTGTGTACAATGGTGACCTTTTGCTTTTTCAGACAGGCAGCTCTGTGCACTTCGCAGTGGTTTGGATAGAATTCTCCATCAGAACCACACACAGGCTTGTAATGTGGTTTGCAGTGTTCCATGCACAGACACTCTGCTTGACCAGTCTTCCCATTCACAACGCAGTGTCTGCCCAGACCACAGTACTTGTTTTCACATGATCCAAAATGGCCATCCTGACCAAGATAACCTTAAAAAAAAAAAAAAAACAACAACAACTTGATTTATTTATTACATTTGGTTTAATTGGATGCAAGATACAAAAAGGATTGACTTGTGTACATAAACTGATACTATGTCTTTTGTTCCATCCTTGACTGATGTTTAACATAGGTCAGTCTGAAATGAAAAAAATTTAGTCCCTTCATCATAACTTTTCTGTCATATACTAACTGTAATTAAGAGCATGATCTAGTAACAAGATTTACTCTTCATTAAGAAGAACCCCACAGTAAATCATGTATTTTTAAGCGCGTATTGAAGTTTTTCACCTTAAGAACATTGTACTACTGCATGTAATAGAACAACGCATTCTTGAGAATTTACATCATAGAATATCTCAAGCTGGAAGGGACTCATAAGGATTGTTGAGTCCAACACTATGCTTCTCACAGGACAACCAAAAACGAAACCATAGGAGTAAAAACATCATGTAGAAGCTCCACAAACTCTGACAGGAAGATAAAATAGACATTCACACATGAAGACTGAACACAAGAATAGCTAGAGCTGCATCAAGGCTCTTAAACAACATAGAGAATTAATAAAAAAAAATAAAACAACAAAACCTCTGTGGTAGCAATATAGTAACACTCCAGGGAACAAAGCATGGATGAGCAGGACATTCAAGTGAGTGGTGCCTAGGAGTTAAATGAACCTCTAGTGGAATTTCAATGAGGATAAGTGTGATTTGGATAGCAAACAGAGTTTTAAGAGTGCTGCAGTAAAGATAAAGGAGTTTCTACTGGTCACAACTTCCAGTTCCTTCTGCTCCTAAAACATGGAAATGGATTATCTGCATTAGGCTACCAAAGACACCTGTCCACTTTCTATCCCATCTGCTGCTGCCACCACGTAAGATAAGGACTGTTTGTCAGGGGATCTGCTCCTGACAGAAAGGCAAAGTTCAGTGCACAGTAATACTTCCTTATTATATCTGACTGCCATAGAACTATGGCTTCTTGGCAACGGAAAGGGTATGATGTGAAAAATGAAAACAGAGTAGTCAATTTCAATGATCAAACTTCAATTCCGTAGGTGTTCTGATAACAAAATTGTGTCCTAAAATAAGCATAAAAATACTAAAATGCCTCCAAATGTGGAAATAAGACATTGCCCTTCTGATTACTTCCTTTTATTCTCTCACCTCACACTCCTAACCTCCAGAATAAACACCTAGCATTCTAATTCCTTCCAATACATTCCTTATCCTCACAGCCTAGCTGAATAATACTTGGCTAAACCATACAAAAATAGTGTGAACAAACAAATCATAATGCATAATCTGGTAATAATTTGGTCATATTAAATTCATTTCCAGTACTGAAGTGCTAACACGTCAGTTCCACAGTTTGACGCACATTTCTTGTAACCACGGAGAATTTATGTTCTTCACTTTAGTGGCAGAAAAAAAATCTTACCGCTTGTTCTTCCTAAGCTTACAGGTCTATTAGATAACCGTGCTTTGATTTCTTGCTTTCTTATCCAGTACAAATTTTCTAGACTAAATGTACTACAGAAAGCACACAACCATAAAATTGAGTCTAATGACATGCTTTTGTTATATTACTTGATAACAATTTAAGCACAAAGTTAAGGGGACTACATATTCACCTCAGGTGTTATATGGCTGATACAGCTACACTACAGTGATTTTGATTCGCATGTATAGACCAGACTGATGGTGGGTTTAACTGTTCAAGCACCAAACTGACTTGAAACAGCCAAACCCAATTCAGTATTAAAAATTTCCCATAAGTTTTTGAAGATATTTCTTCTTGGGCCAGTGTATCACCACTATTACAAGAAACAGACATTAATTGACAGAAATTCACGTAAAGCCAATTTCCTTCTACTAGTGCCAACCTCAGATAAGGCCTTGCAATGTCCAAGAGTGCTTTAAAGCATAGGTCATGCACACATATCACATTACTTAAGAACAACTTGGAAGTGAGGGAATTGTTATGGTTCAAGGCCAAAGTCCATAAAATCATTATTGTTTTTGCATTCTGAATGGAAAACAAAGATCTCAATCTGACAACCTCTCTGAATTATTGACAGGTGTGTGGTGACTCAACAATACACTGCTGTATTTTGCTATGAAAACACAACCAATTTAAGACTACGCTTGGGATTTCATTTTAATACTATAATTGAATCTGATACCTGAATGCAAAATAGGCATCTCCCTTTCAGATAAGGGAGAATGATTTACATAATATATACATGATGTGTAACATAGACATGATATTTATAATATTGGTATATGTCAACTTACACCAATTATGGACAGCAATAAACGAGCAATATTTTTGCCTTAATGAAAAACTACATTTTTTATGAAATGTTTTATAAGTGTTTCAATTTTAGACCATTAAATATTCAAAAACAATACATATTTTTTCATCCTCATATATCTTCATATGCAACTTCTTCAGTTGAGGTCTGTGGTAAAATTCCCATTGACCTCAATAGAGGCAGAGGCCTTAAGTCATAGTCTTAGGTTTAGCAGGTTTAAGAAGCACTGTTCTGTGCTGAAAAGGAGCAGCTATGTAGGCTATCAAGTGTTTTATAGTACATGCAGTACATATTTAAGAAGAAAGGTTTAAAAGTATACTCTGAAACAGTCCACCAACCAATGGTCACCAGATTACCAGATCACTCATAGCAAAAAAAAATAAGTAAAATCCATGCAATTGCAAATGAGGTGACAAAAATGTTCACAAACATAAATTTGAACTAAAGTCCACCCAATTCTGAAAATTTAAACAAACCAATAAATTCTAAATAGCTACTGTGAGATACTAATAAACGAGTTTAGACAGCAAACTGACCAAACAGAAAAAAAACAAGTAAAACCAACTTCTGCTGCTTTTCATTGCTCCAGCCCAACTTGCAAAAATCACTATATTTGACAAATCCTTCTTTTTATTTTATATTTCAAAAAAAGGTATTTCTATAATTTTCTTCTTGGAATAGAACTGCTAAAAAGTTACAGGAATCTTGTAATTAACCCCCTATATTTTCAAACAATATGGCCCATTTATGAAATGCCTGTTTCAGTGACTCTTAGGAAAACAAGACTACTATTTTTCCTTCCTAGAATTATTATTAATGGAGGTATACTTTGGATAGCATAATAATGGAAAAGGGTTGGGGTTTTTTTTAGTTTTCTGAGGTTTATTGTTTAGCATGCAACACCCATTAAGGAGACCATCACCATCACAAACACCAAGCGTTTCTGAAGGTTGTTCTTCTATCTAAGCATTTAAATTTAGGAAGTGAACTTAGGTTTCTATATTTAGATATAATTCAATAATTTAGTGGAGAAGGCAAGCAGCTCGTCATATTCAATATTAAGAGAATGAAAACCAGTCAGGATGACAAACAATCTAACCATAAATGTTAATATTTTTCCATCAATTTGTTATTGGTTATGTGAGGACAGGTAAATCTGTATTTGTCAAACGTCACAACATAACAACAGGAAAGTGTGCACTCATATTAGCAACATGCACTCAATTTTCAACCAAAAAGCTATAATATTTATGCATTCTGAGAGTACCTACAGTACTATGGGAAGCAAAATGTATTTTGTTCCATTAGAAAGTAAGGCAGGAAACATTTAAATTATCATAGCCTTAAGTTAAAAAGAAATATCTTATTCAAGAACTACCAGTAAAAAAGTATTACAGTCAAGACAGCCAAAGCAGTCTCAGATTTTTCAGATTCTCTTGAAATTTAAAACTCTTAACAGATAGGAAATGAAATACAAACAAAAATAAAAGTTTTTTTATTTTAAAAAGTGTGAGAAGGTGAAAGTGTTTTAGCTGTTAAGAAAAAAAAATAATAAATACAGTTTCAAGTTGTTAGTTGGGATTCCTCATAGAAGTTTCCTATTTAAGGCTAGTACTACAGCACCCAGAGTTCAGCAAGTTGTAGGTCACACTTGAATAATATACAATTGGGAATTAAGTGGATATTTTAGCATGCAAAAGGCTCTCAGAAATCTATACTTTTCCGTTTTAACTAATCAGTTTAAACTAACATTCCACAAGGAAACTTTGGAATTTCATGAGAGAATGAATCACCATGTTCTACAGTTGGCCCTGGGCTGGAACAAACACAGGCTTTCTGTATGCTGAGCCCTCTCTCACAGACTTACTACTTTTTATTTCTCTAACATAATTTGCACTCATGGTTTCCATCATAACTTGCTGCATTATCTACGTGTCATGTAAAACAAAGTGGGAGCTCTTTTTGGAGATAATGCATCGATATCCTGTGTACAAATAACTAATGGTTATTACTGGTGTCCTATTCACCCCTCTTTTATTTAAAACCATTTTGTAAATGACAATTATAACTCTACAGTTGTATCTTTGTTTAATACAAAGGCCTATGAAAGGCCTAACCAAGACTGTAAACGTTACTTTGGTAAGTGTTCAGTGTAGTCTCAAGTTCCACATAAAACAGAAAATATGTCAGGGACATCAGAGGGAAGAAGGAAGAAAAAAAAAAAAAAGGTAAAAAAAAGTAGAAAATAAGATTGATCACCACCTATCATTAATACTCATAGGGCATTAACACTGAACATGACCTCAGAATGAACTGTATCTGCTCATAAATATTAAAGGTCTAGACTTTTTCTATTTTTAAACTGTAGTATTTTAGCAGCAGTTCTTTGACAAATTTTGATTACACTAGCAAGAACAGCTTGTAATAACATAGACTGAGCATGACACTAAATCTGCATTACTCATTATCTAGCACTCTCGGTATATGAAATTATTAATTAATTTAGCATTTTTTATTTTGGCTAGAAATATTTTGGATAGGGGGAAAATGTAAAGAAAAAGGTGGATTACTTTAGAACAAATCAAAATTTGTCAATATAATGCTTATGTTAATAATTTTCCACCTCTTAACTAACAGCACATATCTTAATAAACTAAAGAGATAAAGATTTCA